GTCTCTTTTTGTGCCAAAATATGACGCAATGGAAGGAAACACTGATTTTTGAGAGACTCTTAAAAGTTAGGATCAGAGCGACGAAAATAACAACTGAAGCAGCCAAAGAAAAAATTGTGGCTCCAAAACGTGTTCGGTCACCGGCTTGAAATTTAGCCGGTTTAATAAAGACAGTTGACTCTCTATATTTACCAAAATGTAGTCCGATCGGATAAAAGACTGATTTTTCGGAGATTGTTAAATCTAAGCAAATGCCACTAAGTTGAAAACTGAAAGCCGCTTAAAAAAAATTCGGGGGTTCAAAAGCTGTTCTAGAAGCGACCTTAAATTTCGCCTATTTATTAAAGACACATTAGTCTCTTTTTGTGCCAAAATATAACGCAATGGAAGGAAACACTGATTTTTGAGAGACTTTTAAAAGTTAGGATCAAGAGCGACGAAAATAACAACTGAAGCAGCCAAAGAAAAAATCGTGGCTCCAAAACGTGTTCGGTCACCGGCTTGAAATTTAGCCAGTTTAATAAAGACACTTGACTCTCTTTATGTACCAAAATGTAGTCCGATCGGATAAAAGACTGATTTTTCGGAGATTGTTAAATCTAAGCAAAAGCCGCTAAGTTGAAAAATGAAAGCGGCTCAAAAAAAATTCGGGGGTTCAAAAGCTGCTTGAGAAGCGACTTTAAACTTCACCCATTTCATAAAGACACATTAGTCTCTTTTTGTGCCAAAATATGACGCAATAGAAGGAAACACTGATTTTTGAGAGACTTTTAAAAGTTAGGATCAAGAGCGACAAAAATAACAACTGAAGCAGCCAAAAGAAAAAAATCGTGGCTCCAAAACGTGTTCGGTCACCGGCTTGAAATTTAGCCAGTTTAATAAAGACACTTGACTCTCTTTATGTGCCAAAATGTAGTCCGATCGGATAAAAGACTGATTTCTGGAAAATTGTTAAATCTTAGCGAAAGCCACTAAGTTGAAAACTGAAAGCCGCTCAAAAAAAAATTCGGGGATTCAAAAGCTGTTCAAGAAGCGACCTTAAATTTCGCCCATTTAATAAAGACACATTACTCTCTTTTTGTGACAAAATATGACGCAATTGAAGGAAACACTGATTTTTGAGAGACTTTTAAAAGTTAGGTCCAAGAGCGGAAAAAACAACAACTGAAGCAGCCAAAGAAAAAATCGTGGCTCCAAAACGTGTTCGGTCACCGACTTGAAATTTAGCCAGTTTAATAAAGACACTTGACCCTCTTTATGTACTAAAATGTAGTCCGATCCGATAAAAGACTGATTTTTCAGAGGTTGTTAAAAGTTGAAGATAAAAACTGAAACTCGACAGGAAAAAAAATCGTACAATCAAAACCTGTTCAAGCAGCAACTTGGGATTTGGCCCATTTAAGCAGGACACTCGGCTCTCTTTCTACACCAAACCGGGGTCAATTGGGATAAAAGACTGATTTTTCAGGAATTGCGAAAAATTATGTCCACAAGCGGCAAAGCAAAAAACTGGACCTCGCCAAAGAAAAATTCATCACTTCAAAACCCGACAGAGCAGAGACTTGAAAATTCATCAGTCCCTTAAGAACACTGAACCCTTTTCGCCTATCAAAATTCACCCTCATAGAGCAATAGCCTGATTTTTGTCAGTTATAAACAGAAGATCCTTGGCCGCTACCATTTGCAAGCATTGTATGCAGATCGGACGATAATGCCGATGGCAAATGCACAATTGTTTCGGTTTTTTTCACAATACATACAGTTTGTTGTTGATGTCCATTAATTACGATAATTCAAGTAAATCGCATCCATTGTTCCATAAGCAGTTTATAAAAGAGCTCTTTGCCCTGCCTTGTCCAAACTCAACAAGCAACGGTGTGGTGCATCGTTGGATTTCTGCCGTGCATATTGAACTTCTGGTTCAAGTTCATCTGAAACATCCAGTCCAAACATGTCACCTCAAAATCCTGATGGTGGCTTGGAGGAGGAGGAGGCAGTTGTAGAGCCGCACGCCTCCTTTGAATTCGGGAGGCGCCTAGTCAACGCTCCTGCAGGAGAAGAGGTGGTTATTGCTGGTAAGACGCCTGCAGCTGGGCGAAGGCTTGCAACTGAGCATGCTGGCTTTCATCAGGACTGTCCGGTCAGTTCCCGGAGTCAAGCGACGTGCACCAATTCCGGGACAACCTCTTCAATAAAGTGGACATGGTGACTGCGGACTGTCGCCGATGGGACGTGAGCCACACGGAAATCCCTCAAAGAACCGGCAAGCTGCTCAACATCGCCCAATTCGACGCCGGGTTCTTTGGTAAGCCCGCCTTCTGCCCTCAGCAGCGCCTTAAGCGGCAGATTTCCCGCAGGATTCCATCCGCGACAAGCCAATGCTTGCGATCCCATGCTCAGAATGTTCCTGGAAGCCACTGTGGAGGCGATGTTCGACGCCGGGCTGCATCCGACTGATCTGGAAGGCACCAATACGGGTGTCTTCATCGGATCATGCTTCAGTGAGACGGAGAAAGCATGGTTCATGGATAAGCTGATCCCGCACACCTATGCTGTTACCGGGTAAGCCTTCAAGCTGGCCGTGATGGCTCACTCTCATTGGCTTTGCAGCTGTCAGCGCTCGATGCTGGCCAATCGCGTCAGCTACTTCTTGAAGCTGAAGGGGCCGTCGTTCATATGCGACACCGCATGCAGCAGCTCCTTGTACGCGTTCGAGCATGCTTATAAAGCATTGCGGACGGGGCAATGCGATCGTGCCATCGTAGGCGGCACCAACGTCTGCCTGCATCCGTTTGTCTCGTTGCAATTTGCCAGGTAGATTTTAAGCTTAAGCATGCTTTAGCGGCTATTTATAGATATGTAGGGGTTCACACTGTCTGGGAGCAGTGCTGAGTAATGTTGCAAACATCATAATAATTTTCAAAAATTCCTGGAAAATCAGGATTTTGTCCGATTTGATTGGTTTTTTGCGCAAAAACAGAGTCAAGTGTCCTTAGTGGAGGTGCGAAGTTTCAACTACAAGGTTTATCCGGTTTAGGAGCAACGAGTTTTTTTGGGCGACTGCCATATAACGCTCCTGCCCCACTAAGGACCAAGTTTCTCAACCTGTGAAAAATCAGTTTTTTGTGCGATTCTAGTGAATTTTTTGTGGCAAAAGAGGGTAAAGCATCCCTAAAAAATGGAGAAACTTTCGTACATCTGTTCCGTCAGGTTCTGGGGAAAAAATGTTTTTTGGGCGACTTTCATATGTCGCTCCAGTCTCATTTAGGACCCAGTTTTGCAACTTCTGAAAAATCAGGCTTTTGTCTGGCTGCCCTGATTTTTGTCTGAGATCGAGCACTAAGCATCTTTATTAAACAGACAAACTTTCAAGTTTTTGCTTCCTGAAGTTTGGAAGCAACGATTTTTTTTCGTGCGACTCCCATATAACGCTCTTGCCTCACTTAGGTCCAAGTTTAACAACCTCTAGAAATTCAGTTTTTTATGCGATTAGATTCGTTTTTCGGCAGGAATGCGATCCAAGTGTTCTTAGCAAATGCTTAAACTTTCAAGTGTCTCATTCACGGCATTTTGAAGTAACGATTTTTTTAGTTCCGATCAATTTTCATCTTTTTAGGACTACTTTTTGAAAACCCCTGAAATATCAGTTTTTTATGATTGAACTGCCTTTTTGCAGAGAAATAGGGCGGAGTATTCTTATTCATAAGACGAAGTTTCAAGTTTCTCTTTAGTTAGGTTTTGAAGCCACGAATTTTTTTTTTGGGGGAAGTTCCAGTTCTTTTTTTGCCGCGCTTGAGAGCAATTTGAACAGCCCTTAAAAAATCAGTTTTTTATGCAATTTAACTGATTTTTCGTAAAGCCGGAGGCTGAAGTTTTGTTAGTATGTGCACCAATTTTCAAGTCTTTGCTTCATCAACTTTTAAAGCTACGAATTTTTTTAAAGCGACTCTCATATTTTGCTTTGGCCTCACTTAGGTCCAAGTTTCACGAACTCTAAAAATTCAGTTTTTTATCTGATGCAACTCACTTTTTGAAGCCAAATAAGGCAAAGTGTTTTTAGTCAATGGGAAAAATTTCAAGTCGTTCTTTGATCAGGTTTTAAAACCCCGAATTTTTTTTTGAAGATTTCCTGTTTTTGAGACCAATTTTAACAACCGCCAGAAAATCCATCTTTCTTGCGATTTTACTGAATTTCTACAGCGAGAGAGAGTCAAGTATCTTTAGTAATCAGCCGAACTTTAAAGTTTCTGGTCCAAATTGCAGAAAAGTGCCGCACTATTTAAACATGGGGTTTGAAGCCACGAAAGGAGACTTATTGAGTAATGTTCAAAAATTCCTCAAATATTCGCACTAGATTCAATTTGACTGCTCTTTCCCCCAGAGAAACTCAAGTTTTCTTAGTAGACGCACAAACTTTCAAGTTTTTCCTTCATCAGCTTTTTAGGCAGCAAAGTTTTTTGGAGGATTTCCGCATTTGCCTTTGAACGCACTGAATACTACTGTCCACAAGCTCTGAAAAATCCGTGTTTTGTCCGTTTGGACTGATTTTTGGTGCAAGGAGAGGGTCGACTCTCTTTACTTAGAGAACAAAATTTCAACTCCCTGCTTCAGCTAGATTTGAAGCCACAAACTTTTAGTTGGCAACAACCTTCACTTTTTTGGGCACTTTTCGCTCCAACTTTAACAGCGCCTGAAAAATCCGACTTTAACCCAATTAGTTTGTGCTTTTGTGCATGAAACGAGTCAAGTGTGCTAAGGTGATGTGTAAAATTTCTAGTAAATCTCAGGATGGGTTTGAAAGCTACGAATTTTTATTTGCGACTTCCGCTTCTCCTCCTAGCGCCGCTCTTGGGACTTACTTTGTCTAACTTTACAACTTCAAAGCTCGGTCTTCCTCTTGTCCAATTGAACCAAATTTTTAGCCAATAGTAGGGCCAAGTGTCCTGATGGGACAGGCGGCGCTTCAACAGTGGAGCTTGCTCAGGTTTTCTGCCTATCAGTTGTTCAAAGCGTCTTCTAGTTTTCATTGCTTGTAGTTTTGGGGCCAACTTTAGCATCCCCTAGAAAATCAGCCCCAAGTCCAAAACGTCTAAATTTTTCCCAACAAAAGCCCTCATGTGTTGTTAGTAGATGGTTAAAATTCCACGCCAATAGCTTAAGAGGTTTGGAGTCGACGAATTTTTTTTTGGAGGCTTGCCTTTATTATTGGCGTGTCTGCTTGATTGGCATGCAAATGTTCCCAGATTGGGCGTTCTGAGCCCAGACGGCTCCTGCAAAGTGTTCGACAAAAACTGCAACGGTTACGCCCGTTCTGAGGCCATAACGGCGCTGCTGCTTCAGAAGGCCAAAGACTCGAAGCGCATCTACGCCACTGTGTTGCACGCCAAAACCAACTGCGACGGCTACAAGGTGAGCCAAAAACCGCCCCAATTCCCCCACTCTCACCTGCTCTGCCCCCATCAGGATTCCGGCATCACGTACCCCTCTGGCGAGATGCAAACCAAACTGCTCAGGGAGTTTTACCAGGAGTGCGACAAGGTGAAACCCAGCGATTTGAGTTTCCTGGAAGCCCACGGAACTGGTAAGAAGAGTTGTGTGGGTTTCGCCCACTGCGAGTGCTAGACGGAGACAGAGTATAGTGGGGCGGGCGCTGGCAACGCCTGGCTCCGCCCACTTCTCCTGTCCAATGCGCGCAATTATTCGCATTCCAGGCACCAAGGTGGGGGATCCGGAGGAGCTGCAGGCCATTGAGGAGATTTTCCTGCCGGGACGGACGGTTCCATTGATGATCGGCTCTGTCAAGTCCAACATTGGCCACACTGAGCCTGCATCCGGACTGTGCTCCATTACAAAGGTTGGAATCTCCATGAACTGCTTGAACTTACCACGCCCACTTTTTGCCTGATTCCAGATGGTGATTGCGATGGAAAGCGGCTTCATCCCCCCCAACATCAACTTCACCGAAGCGAGATCAGGGAGCAAAGGCCTGGATCAGGGCATGCTCAAGGTGGTGGTGGAGAAAACCCCCTTTGCAGACACCCGCGGGCTGATAGGTGAGGAGCCTCCAACGAGCAAACCGATGCTGATGGCGCTTTGCAGGAATCAACAGCTTCGGGTTCGGAGGCAGCAACTGTCACATCCTGCTGCGGCACAACCCCCAGGCGAAGCGGAGTCACGGGAGGCTGGGCCCGCCCCGATTGGTCTGCGTGAGTGGGCGGAGCCAAGAGGCGGTGAACTGTCTCCTTGACGACGCGGCAGCCCACGCGGATCCCGAGCACATTGCGCTGCTCCATCACGGCTTTAGGTGAGCGTCCGACCAGAGATGGCGCCACATTAACTCCTGCCGTCTGCAGGCGCGATGTGCCCGGACATTCATACAGGGGAAGCGCGCTCCTTTCCAAATCGGGCGAAATCCACCGCTCCTGCAGCAAAACCGCCGATAAAACCCCCACTTTGATGGTGGCCTTCGGCGATATGGCGACCCTCAGGTGGGACGCGGGCTTCAAAGAGATCCCCGTGGTGGCCCGAAGCATCCAAAGGTCTCCCCCGCATGGTAGAGAAAGTCACTTTGTCACCCCCAGGGTTTCAGGCTGCAGCAAAACCTGCCCCCCGGCAGCCGGGAGGTGGAGGAGTTGCTGCGGAGCAGCACCCACGCAAAGGACCAAATCGTCTGCAACTTCTGCATGCAGGTGATTCTCTCCGACCTGCTGCAGGCCGCCGGCCTGGTCCCCGATCGGGTGTTCGCAGTGAACAAGGGGCTGTCCTTGGGGGTGCTGGCGCTGGCCCACTGGGAGGGGGCGATCACTCTGAAGGAGGCCCTGCAGTGCGTGGTTGCCATATCGAGCAGCTGCTCGGCAGGCAACCTGCCGGAGATAGCCCACTATGTCTGCCAGGACGCAGCCACTGGTGGGTGCTGCCTCCAAAGACTCCCAGGGGGCTACAGGGGCGTTTGGTTGCAGCTGCCGACCTCCAGCAAGCCCTGACAAGGGTTCTGGTGACGCCGCGGCGACTTGGCAAGCGCGTGATTTTCGCCGCCACCCCCTCTGAGCTGTCCCCCGACTACTTGATGACCTCTTGGGGCGACACTCGCGTCCTGGTGGACGCCAGCAAAGCGCTGCAGAGAACCGACGTGGTCTACGAGCTGGGGAACGGCCAGGTTGTTGGGGGCAGCGGGCTCTTCGAGCACAAGTCCTTCATCAGCAGCGGCAACGGTGTCAACGACTTCCTCATCTCCCTTGGCAGGTGGGGCTGCAGCCCCACTCTCCCAGCCTCGGCTCACCTCCTTGTCTTGCAGGCTGTACCAGCTGGGGCTGCACCCGCAGCCCCAGAACCTCTGCCCCCAGGTGGAGTTTCCGGTCAGCCGGGCCACTCCCATGATAGCGCCCAAGATCAAGTGGAACCACCAGGACAACTGGTTTGTGACGGTTTATCGCGCCGACGACAACATGCAAGTGGAAGAGAGGAGCTTTTTGGTGCTGCACAAAGACCCGGCGTACGGCTTCATCAAGGGCCACGTGATCGACGGTAAGGCGCCCGTTTGCGTTGCCCCCGTAGGACTGATGAGTCTCCCCCCAAGGCCGAAACCTGTTCCCCGCCACTGGGTACCTGAAGGTGGCGTGGGAGGCCCTGAGCCACATCTACGGGCGAATGGGCACCGACACTCGCATCGTCTTTCAGAATGTGAAGTTCAAAAGGGCGTGCACGATGCCGCATGAGAACAACAAGCTGGAGCTCACCGTGATGATCCAGCGCGTCTCTGGCAACTTCGAGGTGATCGAGAGTAAGTGGCTGCGCCCCTGGAGGAGGAGCTCTTCTGAACTGCCGACCTCCTTTCCAGACGGGATGTCCGTGGTGAGCGGCGTGGCCCGGCTGGTGTTCAAAGACCAGCACATGCCGGACGTTCCCTTCTCCCAAGGAGTCTGCAGGGAGGAGGCGCCTCTGATGAGCACCAGGGACGTGTACAAGGAACTCAGGCTCCGAGGGTACAACTACAAGTGAGTGGCCTTTGGAGGCTGGGCGCTTTCTAGCCAAACTGGGCGCGTTGCATCCGCAGGGGGAAGTTCCAGTCGGTGAAGAGTTGCGACGTCGGCGCCCACACCGCGCGAGTGTCCTGGGACGGCAACTGGATCACCTTCATGGACAACATGCTGCAGCTGAAAATCCTGCAGGAAGACACGCGGATGCTCTACGTGCCCACCAGCATAAAGCGCATCCACATTGACGCTCAGAAGCACCTCAGATGCGTCAAGGAGACTGGGCAGGAGAATCCAGACCTGCCGGTCTTCCTCTCAAAATCCACCGGCATCGTCAGGTAGGCGGGGCTTATTGGTTTAAAAGCGCTGCGCGCAAGCCACGCCCTTGTTGTAGGTGTGGGGGGATCGAGATTACCGGGCTGTTGGCCAGCTCGATTGCGCGCAGGAAGTATCTGGCCACGCCCGTGTTGGAAAAGTACGTCTTTGTGCCCAATGCGTGCAGGCTGCGGATGGCCGAAGCCATTCGGGCTGATATGCAGATCCTGCTGGAGAATTTGTACGGCTTCAATGTGAAAGCGGTGGAGCTGATCGATGAGGCCACCGTCGAGGGCATCGTGCCCTTAGGTAGGGAAGGGGGTTTCTCCTGAAACTAGAGCAGGAATTGGGATTTGCAGGCGAAACTGTGCATGATGTGCTGGCTGATCTGCCTCTGATCCAGCCGGAGATCATTATTCTGAGCAAGAACGAGATGGAGGTGAGGAACGTCAAAGTGGAGGACAAGAAGCTGCTGACTGAGTTGGACTGTAGTCTGGTGGTGGCCAGCAAACTGTTCCAAAGGAGCAACGTGAGTAGGATTGCTGTTTTTTGGTAAAACTTTGAAAATTTCTAGAAAAATATCGGATGGTGCTACCAAAACGAAAATTTTGCGTTAGATAGAATCGGTTTCGGTCCTTCGAAGGAAAAAATTTGGAAGGTTCTAGCGTTTTGGGTTTCGGCTTAATTATTTTTTTTAGAAACCGTTGCTGGCACATCTGTGGCAAGCCGCCTTAGTGAAAATTGCCCAAATTTTAAAATTTCTTAAAAAAATTCCCGATGATGCACAGAGAGGGAAACCTTTGCCTGGTACAGAACCGACATTTGTGCTTCCAAAGCAGCAACTGAGAAGATCCGGGCTTTTTTGGTTTGGGCGCAATCATTTTTTGAAGAACCATTGAATACTAGTGGCAAGAAATCTTAGCGCAAATTGCTCAAGTTTGAAAGTTGCTAAAAAAATCCCTGATGACGCACCAAAATCGAAACTTTCACGTGATATATACAGCCGCCCTTTGCGCTTCCAAGGCAACAATTAAGAAGGTTCTGGCTTTTTTGTATTGCGCCCAATTTTTATTTTTTTAAGCCATCAGTCATTGTTCAAATTTCCCAAGTTCGAAAATTTGTAAAAAAATCTCCAGTGATGTTCAGAAGTGCAAATTTTGACGTAATATAGAATCCATATTTGTGCTTCCAGAGCAGGAAATGGGAAGATTCTGACTGTTTGTTTGGGCGCAATAGTTCGTTTTTCAGAAAGCCGTGCAGATTTTTGCATGTTAGCTGAGTCAAAATTGCTCAAGTTCGAACATTTCTCAAAATGTCCCTGATGAACCATAAAAGTCGAAATTTTCATGTGTCATAGAACCAACGTTTCTCTTCCGAAATCAAAAGCTATAAAAGTTTTGGCTTTGCTGGTTTGGGTGTAACTATTTTTTGTATGCAACCGTTGCAAGAAATTTCAGTTAAAATTACTCAAACTTGAAAATTGCTCCAAAAATGTCTGATGCCGAAACACAAACGAAAACTTCCCCGTGTGATAGAACCACTTTTTGCGCTTCCAAATCAAAAACTAAGAAGGTTCTGGCTTTTCTCGATTGGTCGCAATCATTTTTTTAAGCATTGAATGTCAGTTGCTAGAATCCTGTTGAAACCTTTGCAGTTGCGCTGCAAGCCATCCAAGTCAAGTTTGGTCGAATTCGAAAATTTGTGATGAGGCCAGCAAATCGAAACTTTAGCAAGCTCGAAAATAGACTCTTACAGTTGGAATACCACAATCCTAACAAAAGTGTCTTTTTTGCTTTGGAAGTGATTTGCTTTTTACGAATCCATAGTGTAGCAAGCGCCATAAGGGAAAGTTCCCAAGTTCAAAAAATCGCAGAATTGCACTCAAAGGCGCAATCCACGTGAAATTTTCAGCTCTTGACAAGGCAACCTTTTCCTGTCCACTGCACCAATCAAAAACTGACTGCTTTTCCCAGTTTCAGAGCTATTAATTTTTTACTGAACGATCCAAAGCGCGCGTTTAACCGCCCCCTTATAACACGCCGCACCAAACTCTCCCTGGCTACTGGCTCGAAGCGACTCAACTGCACAAAAACCACACGTTGAAAGCCCTCGAAATGTTCTTTGCAACCGTGCAAAGCCTGGCAAAATCGCTCAAATAGCCGAGCAACAACAAGCAAACGAATCCAACCTGTTCTGCTTCAGATTCTCCAAATCGCCCTGGGCTCCATCAAGGAAAACGGCTTCATCCTATCCAGAGAGCCGCTGGACTTTGACGTGTCCGCTGTGACCAATCAGAGCTTGAGCATCGTGACGGTGTTCACCACCGATTTGGAGCAGCTGGTGTTTTTCCGCAGGAAAACCGAGTTCAAAGCGCCCAAAACCGTGAGTTCAAACCCCCAAGCTTCCTTCCTTCAGCGCTGACTCAGAAACCCGCACCTCCAGGTCAAAGTGCAAATGGAAAACGACAAAGACTTCTCCTGGCTGGCCAAACTGCAGGGCGCAGTCGCCCAGGACGGAAACGTGCTGGTCTGCGCCCAAAACGAGCCCCTCAGCGGCCTCCTAGGGCTGACTGCGTGCATTCGGCGCGAACCTGGTAAGTCCCGCACCTCACCAGTGCTTACCTTCAACGGGCGCCCCTTTGCAGGCGGCCAAAACATTCGCCTGCTATTCCTGCCGGATCCCGCCCCGGAATTTGACATCAACCTGCCCTTCTACCGCGACCAATTGGAGAAGAACCTCGCAATGAATGTGTGGAAGGACGGCCAATGGGGCACCTACAGGCACCTCCTCCTGCAGCAAGGGCGCCTGGCGGAAGTGCGCCACTGCTATCTGAACACGCTGGTGCGGGGCGACTTGTCCTCCTTGGCCTGGATAGAGGGGCCCATAGGGGCAGGCCGCCTCGCGGATCCAGACGAAACGTTGGTCTACGTAAGTGGGCGGAACGGGGGGGTTGCTGATGTTCACGGCCTGGTATGCTGCGCAGATCTACTACGCCTCCTTGAACTTCAGGGATGTGATGGTAGCATCCGGCAGGATCAACATCGACCACATCACCCGTGATAGGAGGGAGCAGGAGTGCGTCCAGGGCTTCGAGTTCTCCGGCCGCACTCGCAGGTTGGTGGAGCCTCCCTAGCAGGTTCGGGGGGTTGTTGAACAGAGCTTTCTGAGCGGTGGTTTGCCGTTGACAATCTGCAGCTGGCGGGGCTCAAAGTGGTATGTTTCAGTGGAAGGAGAGTGTGCGGTTTGCACCGCAACGGAGCATGCGGCTCCCTACTGGAGGCGGACACTTTCCTCATCTACGACATCCCGGACTCCTGGAGCTTGGAGGAGGCCGCAACAGTCCCGGTCGTCTACGGAACCGCCTACTACGGACTAATCCAGGTGTGGTGGTGGTGCGGGTGTAAATTCTCGCAGTAAAATGCCTCAATCCCCACACAGCGGGCCCAAATGAGAGGCAACTCGACCATCCTGGTCCACTCCGGCACTGGAGGTGTGGGACAAGCCGCCATTCAGCTCGCCCTTGGTATGGGCTGCACTGTTTATACCACAGTGGGAACCGCCGAGAAGCGGGAGTTCCTGAAGAAGTTGTTCCCCCAACTCACAGGTGAGCTATGCAGAAGGGGTGGAGCATGATTTAGACTGTTCCCGGTCCATCCAGATGGGCGCATCTTCAGCTCCAGGGACATAAACTTCGAGAAGAGCGTGATGGCGGCCACCAAGGGCCGAGGAGTGGATTGTGTGCTCAACTCGCTGGCTGAAGAGAAGCTTTTGGCTTCTGTGCGGTGTTTGGCGCGAGGCGGCAGATTTGTGGAGATTGGCAAGTTCGATCTGGCCAGCGACAATGAGCTGCAGCTGCTGCTGCTGAGCAAAGAGGCCAGTTTTCATGGTGAGTGGCCAGGAGGTGCTTGACTCGTGGGAGAACCAGGGCCAAAAAAAAAATATTGCTCACAAACTGAGCTGCCTAGACGCTTTCCGATTGGTGCACTCGAAGCGGAAAGGGCAGTTTTTTAAGACCTGTGAGTTTCGCGTCGATCGCACCATCGGGGCAAGTTTTGGAAATTTTCGAAGTTGAACAATTTCGACTGGGATGGCTTGCAGTGGACCTGCAATGGTGTCTTTAGAAAATCCGGACGTCTAAACGACGGAAGTTCAAATCCTGCTAATTCCTGCCTTGAACGCGCCAATATCGCTTCTACCAGAGCTAAAAGTTTCGGTTTTTATGCGTCATCAGGGAATTTTTCAGAAATTTTTAAAGTTGACTAGTTTTAACTAAAATGGCTTGCGACAGACCTGCAAACGTTTATGTAAAAAATTATTGCGCCCAAATGCAAAATTCAAAACGCTCCCAATTTTTTGTTTGGAAGCCCCAATAACGACTCTATAACAGGAAAAAGTTTTGGTTTACGTGCATCATCAGGGATTTTTTAAGAAATTTTCGAACTTGAGCAATTGTGCCTAAGAAAGCTTGCACCAGAGTTGCACTGGTGACTAAGAAAAATTATCGCGACCAACCCAAGACGACTAAAAAATTTGCAATTTTTCGCGTAGAAGCACAAATATCAGCCCGATAACACGTAAAAGTTTCGATGTCTATGCGTCATCAAGGATTTTTCAGAAACTTTCGAACTTGAGCAATTGTGCCTCAGAAAGCTTGCACCAGATGTGCACGGGTGACTGAAAAAAATTATAGCGACTAACCCAAGGAGACTAAAACCTTTGAAATTCTTGCTTTAGAAGCACAAATATCAGCGCTATAACACGTAAAAGTTTCGATGTTTATGCATCATCAAGGAGTTTTTTAGAAATTTTTGAACTTGAGCAATTGTGCCAAAGAAAGCAAGAACCAAATTTGCATTGGTGACTGAAAAAAATTATAGCGACCAACACAAGAAGTCTAAAACCTTTGCAATTTTTGCGTTAGAAGCACAAATATCAGCTCTATAACACGTAAAAGTTTCGATGCCGATGAATCATCAAGGAGTTTTTTAGAAACTTTCGAACTTGAGCAATTATGCCTAAGAAAGCTTGAACCAGATTTTCACAGGTGACTAAAAAAAATTATAGCGACCAACCCAAGAAGTCTAAAACCTTTGCAATTTTTGCTTTTGAAGCACAGATATCTGTTCTATAACACGTTAAAGTTTTGATGTCTATGCATTATCAAGGAGTTTTTTAAAAATTTTCGAACTTGAGCAATTGTGCCAAAGAAAGCTTGAACCAGATTTGCATTGGCGACTCAAAAAAATTATACCGACCAACCCAAGAAGTCTAAAACCTTTGCAATTCTTGCTTTAGAAGCACAAATATCAGCTCTATAACACGTAAAAGTTTCGATACCGATGAATCATCAAGGAGTTTTTTAGAAACTTTCAAACTTGAGCAATTGTGCCAAAGAAAGCTTGAACCAGATTTGCATTGGTGACTGTAAAAAATTATAGCGACCAACCCAAGAAGTCTAAAACCTTTGCAATTTTTGCCTTAGAAGCACAGATATCCGCTCTATAACACGTAAAAGTTTGAATGTCTATGCATCATCAAGGATTTTTTAAGAAATTTTCGAACTTGAGCAATTGTGCCTAAGAAAGCTTGCACCAGAGTTGCACTGGTGACTAAAAAAAATTAT